TTCCATAACCTCGTGAGGGGGTTTGGGGGTGGGGTTAAATTTTGTTTTTTAATTTTTGGAAAAACCAAAAGGGCCGCCCAAATGCGCGCCCTTTTTTTTTCCCGCCCCGCCCCCCCCACGGGCCCCCCAGGGCCCCCCCCCCCCCCCCCCCCCCCCGCCTCCCGATCTCTTTGTACCACTGTCTATAAGACACCTTACCGCCGACTGGAGTCAATCAAAATTCCGCTTTTAACTGTCTTGCGTGCGCACACTAAATCGTAACATACTGTACTTTTTTCTGGTAAAGGCAGCGTTGCTGAAACAACCAAATTTATTTTCAACACAATTTTTAACAAAACAGACGCTGTACAGGGCTCCCTATTTCTTTATCTTCACACTTTTCTTTTCTCTCTCGAGGGTGTCCGTTTAAAGGCTCTAAATCTGACAGGTGATTGAGGGCTGCCCACGTTTTGTCGTCTAAAAGTCAACGTTAAGGCAAACAACTTACGTATGCACCGAGGTAATGATCCAGTCCAGGTCTGGTTAGCTTGACAAACACGCTTCTTCTGTCCAACGATGGCGTAACCCGGGTTACAAGAGTATTCCACAGAGCTATTATAGGAGAACACGTAACTATTGATTTTACCGTGAACAGGAACTCCCGGATGTCCACATGATATTGCTAGAAATAAAACAAAAACATGAAGTCATTTTATTTTTCACTGTAAAAAGTGAATTCTAGAACGTCACACAACGGAGTTAACAAAAACTGCTAAATAGTGATAAATAGTAGGAAACCTGGGAGCTCCATTAATATTAGGTTATAAAAATGTATATTAAGCGTGCACGCAGGCATCTTATCGGTAAAATGTAAGTCATGGCAAGCTGTTTTGGCCTTGTTAGACCTCAGGCAGTATAATTGTTAGACGAACTGAGCTCCAGACAATGTCTGGTTGTTATCACTGTCTGTATGAGTAAGCTGAAAGTGATCATACCGCCAAGTTATATTTTGTGATCATGGCAGGGTTTGAAATTACACATTTGGTCAACGTTGGCAAACGTTTCCCTTAGTGACAATGGAACATAGAACAGATGATGGTGGAGGGCAATCAAATTACCTAGCATAAGTTTATATACAGTCGACCGACCCTAAGGACAACAAGAGGATGTGTTTTAAGGCAGGAGCTGATTGAAAAGGATATAATGATCGTTTATGCCACGGGCGTGGGCAAAAAAAGTAAAGAAAGCAAATCTTGAGTCGCCGTCTGGAATCGAACCTATGACATACCAGATACCAGACGCGCGCTCCGAGCTACGGAGGGAATCGTGGTATTATGTGAAGCGTGTTCTCTACTCTGCTAAGATGCTAAGATCGACATAGTGGAGAGCCCATACTTTGTTATGAAAGACGGAAAAAGTAGGTGGCAATATTAAGTGCGAGGACGAATTCATTTCTAATTCGAAAGTATAACATGTCACAAGGGCGGTGACTGAAGTAGGAATTTATGGCTTTTGTTTAGTTTGCCCCAAGTGAAATGTCCTTACTAGGGCCAGGCCGCCCCTTATAAGTTACGTTTTATTTGTAGCAGTCAGAAAGAATAACATATTCAGTACCAACCATTGCAACTGAAAGAAAGGCGAGACCATACTCCTTTGTTACAACGCCTGATAGAGAACCCTGACAGCGAATAGCCAGAGATACATTTGTAATACACTCTTTCATTATCATTGAACCATTGTCTTTGAGTTTGCAAAGGTACCACAACTGCATTAGGAGGAACCGGAGGCTTTCGACAGGAATCAGGTGATGGACCTGAAATACAAAAGAAAAATTAATCCTGTTTTGTTTGCCAGGCCCAAAGCAACAGCCTTGCTTACCTTATACCAACAGCCGCGAAGCTACATCTGTACAAAGCGGCCATACTTCCTCATCTAACCTATTGCCATTCAACCTCGCACGCTTGTAGAGAAATTGACAGGAGGAAACTGGAGCGCATTCAAGAAAGAAGACTTGGGGTGATATTCAATGACAAACAATCTGGTTATGAAGAACTGCTAGTAAAAGACACCTTACCCTCGTTATACAACAGACGTATACAAGACATTTTAATCCTCATGTACAAAGTAAAGTTTAAACTTCAAGCACAGAGAATCTATGACTTATTCACACTAAGCACCTCACCCTATATTAGAAACGCTGACTTTATTCTCCCCCGATTTTCGACTGTTACTNTGTCCTTACTAGGGCCAGGCCGCCCCTTATAAGTTACGTTTTATTTGTAGCAGTCAGAAAGAATAACATATTCAGTACCAACCATTGCAACTGAAAGAAAGGCGAGACCATACTCCTTTGTTACAACGCCTGATAGAGAACCCTGACAGCGAATAGCCAGAGATACATTTGTAATACACTCTTTCATTATCATTGAACCATTGTCTTTGAGTTTGCAAAGGTACCACAACTGCATTAGGAGGAACCGGAGGCTTTCGACAGGAATCAGGTGATGGACCTGAAATACAAAAGAAAAATTAATCCTGTTTTGTTTGCCAGGCCCAAAGCAACAGCCTTGCTTACCTTATACCAACAGCCGCGAAGCTACATCTGTACAAAGCGGCCATACTTCCTCATCTAACCTATTGCCATTCAACCTCGCACGCTTGTAGAGAAATTGACAGGAGGAAACTGGAGCGCATTCAAGAAAGAAGACTTGGGGTGATATTCAATGACAAACAATCTGGTTATGAAGAACTGCTAGTAAAAGACACCTTACCCTCGTTATACAACAGACGTATACAAGACATTTTAATCCTCATGTACAAAGTAAAGTTTAAGCTTCAAGCACAGAGAATCTATGACTTATTCACACTAAGCACCTCACCCTATATTAGAAACGCTGACTTTATTCTCCCCCGATTTTCGACTGTTACATTTGGAAAGCACTCCCCTCACTATACAGGGACTAAACTATGGAACAAACTTTCATCTGTAGCAAGAAAAATCTCATCCCTAAAACAATTTAAACTTCTCATTCGCAAGGCCTAACTGTCCAACATTTTTGACACTGATCTCTGTAAAAATTGTAAATTATGCACTTCGTAGTAATGTATGATCTTAAGTTTCAAGTTTTAGATATATTGACTGCAAAATATTTATTGTTGGTTTTCACATAGACTGCAAAACAGTCCGTATTTTTGCGTATTCAAGTACGCGCGAGCAGTCAAACAAAAGGTCTGGAACGAGGCTGAAAACAGAGAGCGAGAATGGGGAGACATGCTAAAAATACGGTTTTTTTTCATTCATTTTTTCATTCAAAGCATTACTAAGAGTCTGTAGGCTGCTAATGTAAGTCTCAAGGCGCGTAACGTATACAATCTGATATTTCAGTTGATTCTCATTAGTCCTTCCTTACAAAGTTCTTCAACGGTGAAACCCTTCGCTTGACACTGCTGGTATCATCCGCCATTTCTGAAATTCTTATCTACCTACCAGGAACCCTCACGGAAATATGACACTTTTCGCGGGACACAAGCCGTGCTATTTTTAAATCTACTCTGGAAAGGGTTGACTCAAGAAAGTAATGGAGATAGAGGCTCAGTTTGATGGGTTCCTCACCTACCTAGCTACAGGTGTATTGTTGCTGACTGACGGACACTCTGGACTGACAAGTTATTAAGCTATGTTGGCCATGTTAGCCCTAGGACGTACAAGGGGGGTGGGGGGGGGTGGGGGTGGATGCCACCCTAACTCCAAGGTTTTTCTGAGTCTTTTTCTAGAGGATAAAACATCAGCACCTTACGATTTCAGTGGCTGTTTGTTCATCCCTTGCGCACACTTTGAGGCATGTTCAGTGATGGGCAGTTGCTATGGTTACGAGTTATGATGTCATAAATAGCAGGTGGTCAAGCCATTTTTGGGTAAAAATACATGTTTTTTCAACTTCTTTCAACAATTAAAGCAAATCTTGTGGCTAATATCATGCAAAGTACTTATTTATGTGTTATTTTTCATTTAAACTACCAAAAATTACTATTCTCACGGTTTTAACCTGATTTCTAATTCTTACGATTTTTAGGAAGATGGTCACGAGACATATCACGTAACTTATTAACAAAATATCTATTATTTAAAATGTTTATCACAATGAGTTCTTTATGTGTGCCAAAATTTAATTCAGCTTTATCATTTACGCCGAAGTTATAGTCAATAATTCATTTTCCACAGATAAACCCCTTAGTCTCAGGGCTTAAACTACTTGAGTTAAAGTTTCATCCGTCCTACCATAAGTCCGCAAAAAACGTAACTAAGTCATCGGAAGTTTCTTTGTCATATAGAATTCAAAATATGTGTCTGTATTGCGCAATGACTGCCAGAGGTATATGACGCATACCGTATTTACTTAGATAAGCGCCACGGTGCTTATGATAATTATTTGCAACAGGAGGGGTGGGGGGCGGTTATTTCAAAGTTGGACGCGACAAAGAATTGTTGTAACTACGACATTATAATTTTCCGTATTTAACTGACAGAATTCGGGGCAGGTACTACTAAACTTTTTTGTCCCCAATGCGGCGCTTATTCAAGGTCGATGCTTATTTGAGTAAATGCGGTAAGATTACATAGCCAGAAACATTCTTTAAAAAATATGAATGTAATTAAAAGATTTTGATGAGCACAATTACCGGCTTCACAGACGGGGAATGGAGCATCCCACTGCCCATCCTTACACTGGATGACAGATGAACCGCGCAAAACAAAGCCTTTAGCACACCAGAACTGTACATTACTATGATGTTGCAGGTTATCACCAAACACAAAGCCATTAGCTGGTACTTTTGGGGCCAGGCAAGGGGCTGAAAGAGAACATTAAAGAAATGATCCTGCTGACAATATTTACTAATGGTTACCAGGAATAAAGTATACCACCGAGAAAGCAGCGGTATATCATATAAATATTACTCAGTTGAATTATTATCTAAAACGGACTGTGTCATGCTATTTGCTACCATTTTAATAAGCTAAAGCGTTTCTCCTCGTCACTGAATTGAATTCCAAAAACTCATGGACCTGTTTTGCTATTTACGACTACTACACGTTGAATCTGTCTCCTATCATGTGCTTCTACTGATGACCGGATGGACATAAACAGAAAATTTGAAAAAAAAATTCGTTTTAATGTTATATCAGAGGAAATCACCAAAACGTTATTGTGGTTTGTGCTTGTGTATGAGTAAAGACACTAAGTAATGACTTAAGCACAGGATTAACCCAAAAGAGCAGTATCCACGAGACACAGCCCCTTTAATGCCTAAAAATCAATACCTTTGCATACTGGTACTTGTCCAATCCACTGTCTATGCACACATCGGATGACAGCAGAACCTTCCAGAACATATTGTTTGTTGCACGAGTACGTCACGCTTGTGCCACTGGTGAAATCATTACCATTGTGTGAACCGTGCGCAATTGTAGGGGGACTGGGACAAGTATCTAAAATCATAAACACCTCATAATAATATAATGCGTTGTATTTTCGTTATCAGCAACAATAAGAATCGTTTGTCTTCAGACGGTAGACATGTTCGACTTAGAGGCATAACCACTTTATTCTACTAAAACAAAGAATCTTTCACCCCAGAAAAACAAATGATAGCAAATGCTGCCACAAATAGCTACAAACCATCAAACAATTTTTATAAACTATTTTTTTCTATATAGTAAAGACTCCAATACATAAAACGCATTGTTACTAATTCTTTGCGCCATAATTGAACTGATGTAGGTCCAATTCTAGCTGAGGACGAGAGTGGTTAAGATTCATATAATATTATTTTTGGTGTCAATTTGCTGACCAAATAAAGTTGATATTTTACCTTTAAGACATTGTGGTAGGCTATCATTCCATTGGCCACTGATACATTGCAACACGCGCGATCCGCTTAATTTGTATCCGTGGCGACAAGACAGCTCTATAATGCCTTCATTGTCAAAGTTGTCAGTTGATATAGCTCCGTTTTTCAGGATTGAAGGAATTTTGCAGACAGCTGAAACAAAGACAATTGAATGTCAAACTGTAAAGCATACAGCTTTGTATATGCAGGTGTGAAAAAGACCATTACATGAACTGATAAAACAACATGAAAGAAATCGGTTACAATTTCTCGATTAGCCATCAAAAGACATTCTGATAGTAACCATTAAAGTAAGTGAAACATTACACATACTATGATTTAAAGATTACAAGTCATCCATGTCATCACCTACGTCATGAACGAGCAAGCGTCGGTTAAGGCAACACGATTCTTTTTTCGGCATAAGTTCGAATGACTACGTAATATAGTTAAATCAATTATTGTCAAAAACGAAACCACTGTAATACATGTTTCATTTAAGTAAAGTTATGGGTACAATTTCAGTTGCCAACGAGAAAAACAATTCCGTGAATAACCGACAGCAAAACGAACTTGTAAAGGTACAATTATAATTATGTAGACTAGAGTCACTCATGCCTCTCTTACCTCTACATACGGGAACGTTTCCATTCCATGTCCCGTCATTGCACGTAATGCTACTAATGCCACGTAATGTAAAACCACGTTGGCATGTAAAGGTGACCTTTTTTCCATGTCTGAAATCACTGCCACTTCTGTGACCGTTTTGTGGAGCTCCTGGATTAGTGCAACGCTCTGTGAAGTTGGAAACGCGGCATTACGATAATTACAACCATTAATTTAAGAGAGAGCCCACAACTTCACGTTAATTATTCTGTAACTGAGGACACCATTCTTGAATATGCTCTTGTGTAAATAGCTAGTGTAAGAAATAAGCTCCGTCTTTGAGATTAGAAGTTAAAGAAAACTTACTCTTGCAAAGCGGCAACTGTGCGCTCCAAATTCCCTCACGGCATTCGATAGTCTGGGCACCAACCAAAGTGTATCCAATATTACATGAAAAGCTCAATGTTTTGCCATGGTCAAAACTGCTACCTTTCCTTCCACCGTGTTCTGGAATACCAGGATCCTTACAACTTGCTTACAACAGGAAAAATACATTTTTCCATTTAATTCGCGCATTGAGAAATTTTCTAGTCTGTTATTAAGGACCTGTTTACATGGAGGTGGGGAACCCCAGATAGGTGAAGTAACATATGTCTGGTCACCCCACCTATCATGTAAACGTGCTCAACATAAGAGATTTTATGAACATGCGGGTTACCCGACCTAAGCGGGTTACCTCACCTACCTGGGGTCCCCTACCTCTATGTAAACAGGCCCTAAATTACCTTTTTTGGTCTTATGCAATTATTTGTAGTTTGCCTTGCATTAAAGTTTTTTTCAGCTCAATCTATCAATATGTTATCGTATTATATCAAATTATCACGCGGGCTATTTCAACTATAAAATTCCGTGTCACATAGGATTAAGACTTTAATGTATTGCATGACCCACTATATAATTTTCATGATAGTTTTTATGTCTCGCTCATCGAGTGTTTGCGCGCCTTTCTAGTCCCCATCTCCATCCCCCTTCTTCCTTTGCGCTTTTCGAAATACGATTAACGACGAGCGAATTTATAACAATAACGATACATAGGGCTGCAACTTTTTTTCAGGAATGGAAAAAAAGAAAAAGAACAAGCAAACCTAGCAATCTTTTAGTTCGTTGTTTAAACCGCAAATCGCCTTTGGTTACCTGAGCATACGGGGTTTTCACTGCTCCATTTTCCGTCATTACAGGTTATGCTACTCACACCGCGCAACGTAAAGCCGTGTAGGCAGAGAAATTTAATAGTCTTTCCATGCCTGAGATCACTACCAATTCGGCCACTGTTTTGTGGAGCTCCAGGATCACTGCACGTTTCTGCGAAGTTAAGAAAAAATACTTTTTCGGGCTCCTAAAGTAAACAAAGTCAATTAGCGTTCGCATGCAGATAAACTTCAAGATCAGGAACAAGCGACATGTAGCCTGATCATAAAAATGGAGGCTTTTAATACCGGTCCCATGAGTCAACAGGTTTAATCTGCAAATCATTTTTTATGCCCTTGTGCAATTATCTAGTGTAAGGGCAAATAATGCATATCTTTCTTTCTTAATAACTTACTTTTACAAAGCGGTGACTGTGCGCTCCAAATCCCTTCCCGGCACTCAATAATCTTGTCACCAACCAAAGTGTATCCAACGTTACATGAAAAGCTCAATGTTTTGCCATGGTCAAAACTGTTGCCTTTCCTTTCACCGTGTTTTGGAATACCAGGATCTTTACAATTTGCTGAAAACAAAACAACGCAAATCATTAAGTCGTCTATGTCTTCTTTTACTTAATTAATACGTATATATTTCCTCGCATTCCAATGAATAAAAATAAGAAGAAGAAGACGATCTAGGCACTTAACAAAGTGAAAAATGAGAATTAAAGTAACTATCGATTAAAACATACTCAAATTTAAACAAAACACATATTAAATCAAATAAATCTATCTAATGACTAAAATAAGCTAGTTGAGGATAAGACAAAGAAGCAATCTCTTTAACTAAAATGTTTTATCTACAAATCGCCGTTGGTCACCTGAGCATACGGGTTTTTTACCACTCCATCCTCCGTCAATGCAGGTTATGCTACTCACACCGCGCAACGTGAAGCCGTGCGGGCAGAGAAAGTTAACCGTCTTTCCATGACTGAAGTTACTACCAATTCTGAGTCCGTTTAGTGGTGCTCCAGGATCACTGCAAGTCTCTGTGAAGGAAGAAAAGGCTATACGGATTAGAATCGCGGTTAAACACCGCGTTTAACTACATCAACTGATATAAAATGCATGCCTGCCAACATGAAACTGTGTAGATTCTTGCACTCACATGCACTTGTGCAGTTAGCACAGTAAGGGAAAAATGGGCGTTGTTCTTTTTACTGACATAAAGACCAGACTAACATGAGTGTGTATTAATGACAAAATCATGCCTAATATTAAAAAGTATTAACTTCTATACATATATCTAGATACCTATCATATCATAATTATTTCATTTTTTCTCCTTTTATTAAGTTCTCCTTTTTCTCTCCGTTTTGCAAAACTGTTAATTTGTTAATCCCTCTTTTAAACTATTTTTGAAATCTGCAATATTAAAACTTGTGAGACTGACCTGCCTAGATAAGCCTAGCTACCTGAAATAATAATAAACTGGAAACTTGAAATTTTGATTTTTTAGAGTCATAGTGAAACCATAACTTACTTTTGCAATGTGGTGAATTTGAGCTCCAACGTCCACTGCGACACTCAATTGTTTTGCTACCAACCAACGTGTATCCAGCATTGCACGTAAAGTTCACCGTTGAGCCAGATTCGAAATTTCTACCATGCTTTACTCCGTTTTGAGGAGTTCCAGGGTCGTTGCAGATTGCTAAAAAGTAATAATGAAAATAACGTCTATGTGCTAATTGCTCAGGAAAAGCATCGACTGAAAGTTATATGAATCGCAGAAAAGTGCTGGTCGAGGAGGATAATGTCAACTTTCTAAGGTGAAAATTAACTCTTTATGAGACCTGTTTGCCCATCACTGATATGTAAGCTGGTGCCAGGAGCGAAAGGAGGAGAATCTAAAAACAAAGCGGGCGCTGGGGCTTAATTAGTTCGTAGTGGTGATTTTACACTGTCTATGAACAAGAGAGGATAAAAATCCAAAAAAAATTCAATTATCTACGTTCACGAGGTTCAAAACGAAGAAATAGCCGACAAAAAAGGACGTTTTGGCTGACAATTTCTTGTTTATCGAAAGCATCATTTCTTCAAGCGCAACGTCTATATAAATATATATAAATTATTTCAAGTTACGCGATAAGTAACTTCTGACGTTTTATGTACACAACACTCAAGCTCATATAAACTATACCTGTACATACGGGAATTTTACCGCTCCATCTTCCATCATTGCAAGTAATGCTCCTAGCCCCTCTCAGCGTAAANTGAAACTGTGTAGATTCTTGCACTCACATGCACTTGTGCAGTTAGCACAGTAAGGGAAAAATGGGCGTTGTTCTTTTTACTGACATAAAGACCAGACTAACATGAGTGTGTATTAATGACAAAATCATGCCTAATATTAAAAAGTATTAACTTCTATACATATATCTAGATACCTATCATATCATAATTATTTCATTTTTTCTCCTTTTATTAAGTTCTCCTTTTTCTCTCCGTTTTGCAAAACTGTTAATTTGTTAATCCCTCTTTTAAACTATTTTTGAAATCTGCAATATTAAAACTTGTGAGACTGACCTGCCTAGATAAGCCTAGCTACCTGAAATAATAATAAACTGGAAACTTGAAATTTTGATTTTTTAGAGTCATAGTGAAACCATAACTTACTTTTGCAATGTGGTGAATTTGAGCTCCAACGTCCACTGCGACACTCAATTGTTTTGCTACCAACCAACGTGTATCCAGCATTGCACGTAAAGTTCACCGTTGAGCCAGATTCGAAATTTCTACCATGCTTTACTCCGTTTTGAGGAGTTCCAGGGTCGTTGCAGATTGCTAAAAAGTAATAATGAAAATAACGTCTATGTGCTAATTGCTCAGGAAAAGCATCGACTGAAAGTTATATGAATCGCAGAAAAGTGCTGGTCGAGGAGGATAATGTCAACTTTCTAAGGTGAAAATTAACTCTTTATGAGACCTGTTTGCCCATCACTGATATGTAAGCTGGTGCCAGGAGCGAAAGGAGGAGAATCTAAAAACAAAGCGGGCGCTGGGGCTTAATTAGTTCGTAGTGGTGATTTTACACTGTCTATGAACAAGAGAGGATAAAAATCCAAAAAAAATTCAATTATCTACGTTCACGAGGTTCAAAACGAAGAAATAGCCGACAAAAAAGGACGTTTTGGCTGACAATTTCTTGTTTATCGAAAGCATCATTTCTTCAAGCGCAACGTCTATATAAATATATATAAATTATTTCAAGTTACGCGATAAGTAACTTCTGACGTTTTATGTACACAACACTCAAGCTCATATAAACTATACCTGTACATACGGGAATTTTACCGCTCCATCTTCCATCATTGCAAGTAATGCTCCTAGCCCCTCTCAGCGTAAAACGAGATTGACAAAGAAACTTTACTGTTTTGCCATGACGGAAATCACTGCCAATTCTACGACCGTTTTGTAGAGCTCCAGGATCAGCGCAAGTCTCTAAATAAATTTAATAGTCACAAAATATTTCACTCTCCAAACACGAATGATACGTTATATAATACTTCTAGCTTTAATCAACGGAATTTTTTGCAAACAACAACAATAACACGAAACTCTGACCACTTTTATACCGGTGAAGCGCTCTCACCAATTTAGCTTTCATCTTCATTTTTAGGTTCCGGTATTTTACGAACCAACAATTTAATGACCAGTTCCCAGTTGACTTGTTAGCTTAATTGGTTATAGCGTTGCATCAGAAGTCAGGGTTGGAATGCCGGCAAGCCTGAATTTTTTCAGGCTTTCTCTTTGGAGGTGTATAAGCAGCGCCTTCAACTGCGATGATTTTCCCTGCATTTATTTATTCTTTTAACTTACTTTTGCACTGCGGAATTGCTGAATTCCACTTTCCTTCCGAGCAGGTTATTGCTCGACTCCCGATCAAGGTATAACCATTATTGCAAGTAAAACTGAGCCGCTTCCCATCTCGAAAATCATTTCCTCTCCGGGCCCCGTTTGGTGGAATTCCAGGGTCCTGACACAATTCTGAAACAAATTGAAGGAACTTGAAAGACTCAGCGAAACATTACCATCTGCCGGAGTCTCTACTATGCCATTCTTTAGAGTAATATTCATATTACAATATTTCCATGAACGAGAACAAAGAATAATTAAATTTTTATCACAACAAAATTAAATCCCAACAAAATATTAACATGCATTGGGAGATAACATGCAATCTCATAATAACAAGTGCAAGTCATCCTAAGCGTGCGTCAATGCTTTGGGTACTCTACGAAAGTTTAAGGTCGTCGACGTCACCCCACGATTCTCGAGCTCTTCGCGTTATATGAAACGTGTCCCTGGATAAGCATCAACTATGGATCTGTTAGCCTTGGTATCAGCTAAAGACAGCCTTACTTAGTAAATGAAGGGATAATATGAGACTGTTCGTCATTAACTCCCAGACTCATAGCTAAATTGTCTAAAAACTACAACACATACAGAAAGGACGCACAAACAAGAACCAGAGTAGAACCATCATTTACATCTACCCGATATAGTGAAGGTTACTATACATGTAAATCTCAATCGAAATTACGGTCTTACTTGAGCAGATCCTGCCACTTCCGGCCCAACCCGTTTTACATTTACAAGTGAATGAGCCAGCAGTATTCTTGCAGTTAGCGTTGGCATGACAGTTTGACAGACCTTCTATACATTCGTTTACATCTAAAAGAAAGAAAACAAGTTGGTTTTCAGTTTTCCCTTTGTTTCTTTGTTTCCTCCAAGAAGATTTTTCGGTTTATTGTATTTCCTCGAATAATAGTCGTCCCTCGATTAATAATCACCCCCCTTAGATGGAAATATTTAAAATAATCTACTCTCTGGAATAATCGCCTTCCCCTCAGCCCTCTAGCCACCTTCTCTTTCTTTTATCCTCTCCATGTCAAGTTGAAGTGGAGTCTGATTCAGCGAAACTGATCAGTGAGGATTCAATCTCTGACGCTGGATATTGACATTGAAAATTAATCAAGGAACCAAATTTTGATTATTAAAAGCCCATGTTCAGTATATTTGAAATGATCGTTTTTGATTTAATGGGATAATAAAACAAAAAATTCAGTTCAGTGAGCATTGTTTAAAATTACCGCCTTCCCTCAAACAACGCTCCCTTTTTGTGCGAAAATTATAATAATCGCCCCCGGTTATTATTCGAGGAAATACGGTAATCTCCTTCAGCCGACCTATCTTTGGCAAAAACAGGAAATCAACGCTTAATTGTTCTTCTGGCATAAAAAGGTCAAGAAACCATCAAAAGTTTATGCATCTGTAACCTCTTTTCTCTGGCGCAAAATAATCTTTATTATATAAACACCAATGAAATACCAGGTGAGCTTTCGCGCGAAAGCGTGATATCTTCACATGTGAAAATATCACCGTTTCTATGGCTACATAATAAATCACGCCTTTCACACCAAACAACTATTAGTGAAATGGTTTGATAGTTCATTGGTGTTTATATAATAAATAGAATATTACATGGCCGCTTGGAGATACGAAATTTCTCTTCTCCTGTTGAAAAAATGTTACTCATTGGCTGCGCTAACTCGTGAAATATTTTTCAACACTCGAAGAGAAATTTCGTATCTCCGCGGGGCCATGTGATATCCTCTATATAAGATCGACATACGTGTTTATTTCGTAGATGAAATAATCACCTTCATACCTTTGCACAAGGGAGCGGATGGTTTCCACTTTCCATTGTTACACCTTATGGCGGAAGTGCCTTCAAGTCTGAAACCAGAGTTACAAGCGTACTTAACCCTGTCGCCATGGCGACTAAGACCAGGCCTTGAATTAAGAACACGACCGTTGGACGGAACAACTGGGTTCGGACACGAGGCTTTAAAGGAAGGAATACCAAGAAAATTAAGAAAAATAGTTGCCGGGCGCTACCATTAAAACATTAAGAGAAGCAAGACAAAAATTTGCTTGCCAAGCTTTCCTTCTAGAGCAAAAATTATACCTCTACACGTTGGCGAAACTCCATTCCATTTTCCTGCCACGCATCGTAATACTTGAGAGCCAATAAGGGTGTGACCTTGATCACACCTAAAAGCCACAGTTTGACCATCAAGAAAGTTGTCCCCTATCCTACTTCCATTAGAAGGGACCCCAGGATCAGGACAGATAGCTAAAAAAATCATTAGTATAGTAAGCAGACACAGTTATTCTTCAGTATCAGTAAAACAATACATAATAAGCAAAACAACGCATCAGTACCAATGCAGCGAGGAACAGATGCACTCCATTCTCCATTGATACAAACAGCAGCGGAACTTCCGGTCATTTGGAAGGCCGGCTGACAAGAGAATGAAATGCGTTTATTGTGACCAAACTCGTTTCCATGCCTGACGCCGTTTTTAGGTCTGCCTGGGTCCTTACAGGATGCTAAGATAGAAAGAAAGGCTAATAAATTCTTGTCGTCTAAAACATAATCTGTTAAAGGAAGTAAAGAAAGTTAGGAAAGTAAAAAGAGATAATAGCTTAATCTTTCAGATATTGACTTACTTTATATATTATTATAACTTTAATGGTGCACAAAAATGTTTTTTAATGATGGAAATGTTGCTGTCAATTTCAGCAGATCGCTTTTTCCCACACAGATAGGGAATTCCGAGCATAGAAACCTGCAGATTTGATGTGATTAAAAATATCTTTTTTATAAGCTCTATCAATCCAATTACAGCCTTCTAACACAGAAAAGGTGTTCTCTGTTTCACAAATGTGAAATAGAGAAGTTTTAAAGTTTGGCTACAGTTAAGGCTGGTCGGGTAGTTTGAAAAGCTAAGTTACGTCCTTTGTTTATGCCTTCACTGTATCTGTTTAAAAAGGAACAATTAGCGTTCTTCTCGAATGTCTTTTCCTTTTCACCTCAAAATACCTTTACAAACAGGAAGGGTAGAGGTCCATTTTCCATCATGACATGTCATAGAATGGCTTCCCTCCAGGCTGTACTGAGGAGGACACACAAATGTGACCTTATTGCCATGTCCAAAGTTAGAACCAATCCTCTGGCCATGTTTAGGCACACCAGGATCAGAGCAGGAAGCTATAAATATGAACACCAACATGAAAGTTTCAGTTGTTTCAGTTGAAGTTACTCTGATTACTCCTTCCTTTGTATAAGAGGCAAATTTTCACAATACCGTAAAGTTCCCATAGTGGTGACCCCCCGAAACGTCAAAAGTTTCTGACTTCTAATAAATCCCGAAAATAGCGAGCCCTCGAAAGTTGCGACCCCCCCAAAAGTAGCGAGTCCCCAAAAAAGTATATCGAGACTAAGTTTTTTCAGTTATAAGTATACCGAGTCTTATGCCTTTAATGTTTTCCAATTGCAATCCATAGTCAAATTTTTAATGTACCTACAATACTTATATCTTCGTGCATTTATAACTTTATCACTAAAAGGCACTTTACAATAAGGAAAATATGACATGCCTGAAACTATCATTCGTCGTTGACGTCAGTTCACAGATTGCACAATGCAAAAACTACACTGATATAAAGTTCATATCAAGAACAGGAACGTTTCTTCAAGTTAAAACTGAAACTTCTGTATACTGCACATTAACAGGAGCCCATCACCCTGAGGGCTCCTGACTATAAAACGCTTTTTTTTTTCATGGACTATTTAAGCACTGAGTTTAGCTTTCCTCGCCCCTGAGTCAGAGAAGAATTCGATTTCCTCTACATCGGCTGATTCACCCATTCGGTAGTCCGGTAGACCAACGTTGTTGATGCTGGTGTTTGGTCCCCGAAAATAACGACCCCCCCCTCCCCCTCCCCCTCCCCCGAGAGAAAAGACACCCCGAAAGTAACGAGTCCCAAAGGCTGCTAATTCCAAAATTAACCGGGGCTGCTACTATGAGAACATTACGGTAATATATTTTAAGAATATTTCATGACGACGTACACACCTTTACATGTTGGTCTTGTGGAGTTCCACTCTCCTGCTATACAAAACGACGTAGATGAACCAAAAAGATCAAAATTGCTGTCACACTGGTAAGCTACCATTTGACCATCTCCAAAATCATCGCCTATTCTTATCCCATTACGAGGGATACCAGGATCTCTACACATAGCTGATAAAAAAAGGGTTAATTATAAGGGCAAAAATTACAAAAGTAAATTCATCTCAAACTCAGGCTCGTGAAAAAATAATATGTCTTCTCGGAGGCGTTTATAAGCGTTTACAAGTGGTAGGAAAGAAACTCGGCACGACAATTGGCATCATGAAACAAAAAACAAAAATGAATGCGAATATCAGTGCATTAAAAAAATGAGATTCTAGCGAAATTCACCCCTTAAAGGAGAGAAATGGGTAGTGCTTAGCAGTCAATCAATGTTTTGTCAAACCGGGCTCCTGGTCAAACCAATTGGTTTATAGAGAAGCTGCTGCTGAAGGAGAACCCTTTAGCAGTATCTCAACCCCCCCCCCCCCCCCCCCCCCCCCCCCCCCCCCTTCTCAACCCCCCCCCCCCCCCCCCCGCCCCCTTCCCTTCCACCCCTCTTTCTGCTTAAGCGGAATATTGTTTCAGGCAAAGAAATCTACGTTGCAAAGCGTAATCTAAAACGATGCTAACCATGACGGACTATTCTGGAAGAGAATTTCGTTGAAATCACATGGACTCCGAAAGTTCCGAGGATGGTCAGTACTGAACAAATTTAACATCTTTTAGTTTCTGATTTACGGATTGTGATTGAATGAATGACCCTTGTTCCTTAACTGAATCACTTCAAAACAATAGTGATGGGACTAGTTAGAACAAGAAAACACACGATTGAAAACAAAAAAAATGTTGTCTTTCTTCTTGATATGGTATTACTCTGTCTGCTTTCAAGAGTGCTTGTTAATTCTATCACTTAACTTAACAACACAAAGTTTTTATCTCTTCTTTCCAAAAAACACTACCATGACGCGTTGAGTTCTCACGATAGAAAATCTAACCTTTACACGTGGGAATGTCGTTACTCCATTTGCCTTCATTACAAACGATCAGCTGGCTTCCAACCAACCAATAACCTGAACTACAAGAAAACTGAAGGTGTTTGCCGTCCCCAAAACTCGTGCCAATTCTCTGGCCGTTTTGTGGTACTCCGGGATCTGGACAAGAAGCTAAAAGAAAGGAAGAAAAATAAACAACACTGGTTAGAGTACACCGATACCTCAGTTTATCATCACTGATCTGAAATTTGTAACACACTAAATTTACACAAAGGTGTAAGAAAATCTACAACAACAGCTGATGTCTACTTTGGTTCAGATCCACTGCGACGGAACATAACGAATAATAGGCCACCTGCACTAAGAGGTCACGTGACCAATGCTTCCTTTTAAACAATAAGTTGGAATCTTGCTGATGCCAAAAATTGACGGAGGACATAAAAATTATCTTACACCCGAAATTTGAGAGAAAAGGCATATTTTATGGCACTCAACAAAGTAGTATGATTTGTATTGGCCGCCATGCCCTCCATCATGGCAGCCAAAACTACTTTTTGCTTGTATCTTGTTAAACGTTTGATAGTTACGCTCAGATGTGCTGAAAACGTTACCACATCTGACGAAAGGAATGATTTCAGATTCGGTTGTTTATTTGGCATGCTTAGAAGTATGATGGTTCTACGATAGTTTTTAGGGGAGCGGAAAAGAATAACAATTCATAACACCTTTGCAAGTCGGAACAGTTGAACTCCACACTCCCTTAATGCAGCGGATAACAGACGAGCCAATCAATGTGTAATTTGCATCACAGGAAAATTCAACTGAGTCGCCATCAATAAACGTATTTCCTCGCCTCCTTCCATTTTGCGGGACTCCAGGATTCCTGCAAGTAGCTAAAGACAAATCGGTATTACTTAATATATAGATTTAGCCAGGGCTAAAAGCGAAGCTCTGGTTAATAATACATGTAAGCAAAAAAAAAATTGATTGCGTAATGCTAAACGGGGACGACAATGAAAATGGCTTCAAGACTAATAGATCTAATTAGCAAAAAAACAAATCGCACGCGCAGCACACTTTTTCTTCTAATTAGCAAAAAACAAATTTGCATGTACAGCACGCTTTTTTGTATTCCCTTGCCGTTGTTTTGTACGACTGCAACGCTGTTTTGTACGGCTAAAACGTCAAACTTCCTAGTTACACATTATTTTTATGGAGGAATTGTCGTATGTACTTACCCAATATTTTGTTTTCTGTGTTCATGTTCGCTTTTATTTTTCACTGCCGCTCATTTTCACCTGGCTACTAGAATTTCTCATTTTCTCACCGCCGCTTTCAATTTCCACGTTTTTCTTCCTTCGAAATTCGTCTCCTTTGTTTTCAATAACACGCTCTTGCTGTTTCTCTGTTATCCATGCTAGTGTAAACATAAAAATAACGCCGAAAAAGACACGACTTTGTTGTTGTTTTTTCTTTCTAAAAGTCTGGGCGGCCATGTGATTTCCTTCCAAATAAAACCTTGAGTTGTATTTGGGTTGCCATACCTGTTGATTGAGTTATTTTACATTGGTATGCCTGTGGTGCGGACGGACGGTCGGGCGGGCGGTTGGGCGGTCGATGTACGGTCACGTGATTACCAAATTATCTCGAATGAGTAGATTACCACATTTCCTTAGCTATGGAGCTCCGCTCATTTTAAAACTTAAAATTTCGGCGAAGGGTTAGGTGATTGATTCTTTTAATTCACTTCTATTTCTTTTTAAACTTTTTTCTTCCACCCTCGAGGTGTGGGTTGAAAAATTTAAAATAATATTTTTTATGCAGTTGCAAAAGAGTACAAAAGCAAAACCTACTGTTTAGAAACCTATATTACCATTCAAATCAACTTACTTTTGCATTGAGGTAAACCTGAGCTCCAAATTCCATTGTGACACTTGATTGACTTGCTACCGACCAAAGTAAATCCGGCATTACACGTGAAGTTCACTGCTATACCGTGTTCAAAATCATTACCCTGCCTTACGCCATATTGTGGAATTCCAGGATCTTTGCAAATTGCTGAGAATAATGAATAACATTCTATTCAACAATCTACAACATAGAACCAGCTTTCAAAGATTCGTTTCAATACAAATAGATGCTTTGAGTGCTACAGTAATATAACTTTTTGACTACACTCATGAACTCCCCTTAATGGCCGTTCGTTTAATTTTCTGCGCTTTACAATCTTCTGGGTTCCTACTCGGGTATTGTTTGTAACGATTATTCGAGAAGGAAACTCTTAATAACGAACAGGAAAATCTGTACCCAAAAGTGAGATAACGACAAGAGCGACTTATCAAACAAAAAAAGGATTGAAAATCGTGCAGGGCGCTTGTTGAATGGTTGGCGTATTTGATAGTTAAGAGGAGTAACCTCTTATTAAGGGAAGACGCTGATGAGAGCAAGGTCGCTGACTCGAGGAAATATAATAACGCTGATTGTTTGATAACAAACAAATTACAAATAATCGGATAATTTACCTGGTGCTGTACATCCGTAGAGCTCCAGTCGAAGGCAAGGTACTTTAGGTGTTAGTTTTGGAAACTTTCTAAATGGCTCTTTGGGATAAATACGAATGGAACTTGTCCTGAACTGCTCTGTCGCTTTGAAGCTGTTCTTCTGGAGTCTGTTAGGGTGCCTATTACCAGTAAGCCCCTAAATAGAGTAAATACGACTGACTGATCACTTGTATGAGCTAATACCTGAATCATTATTATTCATTACCACACATTTCAAGTTCTGAATGCCAGAGTGAATGTAAACAGAGCAGATATCCTTCTCTTTACACGGACTCTTTTAAAAGTGATTAAACCGGCCCAAAATTGTAGCACATTTTACAAAGCAAGATGTTAATCAGTTAGTTTTTATGGACGTACCAAAAGAGCATGAGTTTCATCGCAATTTGCACGAGTCCCGTCTTAGTAAAAGGGTAGATTTGCCATCGCTGCCATTAGTTTTGGATGGAGGACTTAGCAAGAAGCTAAACAACCGTGAATCCTCTTGCGAAACGAAAGAAATAATAATAAGAAGAATAAGAATAAGAATAAGAAACAGCGACACTTTTATCATCTGTGCGCCAGGCCAGTCAAAGTGTTTGAGTAACTTATTATTAAAGAATTGCACCAAACGTACATACTCCGCCCTTCGATTCCCGGGTAGCAAACGTGTACTGGATCATGCGGCAATGATGGCGGGAAAAAAGGTTTGCTTTTTAACCTGTTTGTTTGTTGAATGTTCAGCCCTGTGAGGATTTTACTGAATTATGTAAAGTTCAATTTTGCCTTAAAACGAACAAAAACCCGTGACTAGTCCTGCGGGTCAGTCTTTTGGCCCAGGAGATGAGAAATGTTTTTAATTTCTTATCTTCTCCTTCAAGCTGCTAGTTCTGGTAAACTACAGAAATGTTTCGTTCTCGAAATGGGTAATTAACTGTAAACTACAAAAATTGCAAATTCTTGAGATATACCCGGGGCAGAGTGTAAAATGCAGTACTAAGCCATATTACCTCTTTGTATAGTGTCCATTTCCCTTTCTTTAAGTAATGAACATCATATTTAGTTGACCAACTGTTATCAGGAGCGCTTCCTTGAGTTTCTATTGCAGTAATAAACTTTTCCTTAACAAAACGAATCTGTATGTAAGGCGAGTTATCATCTAGAGCGGAGCACCAGGCTCTCGGTCCATCCAATCTTGCGTTAGAAGGAGCGTGATCCGAGCTTAACTTGGATGATGACGTAATACTCTCATCCGGGATTCTCTTGTCTTTTTCACCCATTCCGAGGGGGTGGTTGCAATCATCTGACATCAAATCAAACATTCAGAATAAGAGGAATGACGATGGCAGCATGCAAAAAAGGCCAATCTCTTATAACTGTTTAACTTGCATTATCAAGAGGTTTACTTTAGCTAACAAATTAAAAAGTTAGTAAAGAATGTAATGAATGAGCAAAGCCCAATGTTAAATGACTTTGAAACTTTGTACATGGAAAGAGGAAGTCCTAGCCTTGGAAAATATCATAAAAGGAAGCGGAAGAGATTTTCGTTTGTTTGACGTGGTTAGTTGGTGGGAGGCTAGTAAAAAGCCAAGCCCACTCATCTTGCTTCTCGCGGTTGTCTCTCGCCTTATTACGATGAATTGATTTTTCTAGAATCTACCGAAGGCCACCGGCTAGGCCTTCTTAGCGCCTGAATCTTTCATCTTTTCAGCTAGCATGTAACAGATTGAAAACCGCAAACATGTGACTCTTGAACGATTTGTCTTCCTTCCACTACTCGTCTAAACCATTTGCATACAGTTCGTCCATAGCTCTATACAAAAGGTTCAGATCGAGTGTGTGCGACGCAGGCAACCAAGATTGTTGTAGTTCTAAGATCTTGCTCCCTATGAGTTAACAGTTCCTTTAACAAAGATTGGTTAACAAAGATTGGTCACAGTTACTTTTCCTCTTCATCGATTAATCCCCTTCACCGGGTGCGAGATTTAGTTTTTATTTCTTTTTCTTGTGGAAAAACTGAAGCTCAGTACATGAGGGTAGGGTAGCGCAGTTAAATATTTAATTTTATTTGATTTTATTCTGTCTCATTTTATTTGTTCAAACTTTCCGTGCACGTAATATCAACATTTTTCACACCAAATTGGGTCCCAATCTCTTACTAGATCTACGAAATTCGTAATTCCTTGAGTGTAATCTAAGACGTACTTCAGCATGTGCCAGACAGTGTGACATTTTGGCACGTTCACCGCATGCAAGCTACTGCGCTGAAGGAAGTCCAAGACAAATTCATTTTCATAAAAATTTTTAAACTATGATGGGAATCGTGTAACTCAAATCTTCAAGCTTCATGTAAATAATTTATGCGTTGATAATTGAACGACTCCGATAAATGTCGACGACGCAAACTACTGATGGGAAAATTCAACGAAGAGAAGCTCGCTTATTAATACGACATTGCGTTGAAAGGCAAGCTAACAATCCCTGACATCGATCGTTTCCCTACTTAAATCAGAACCTTATTGTGGTTCATCCCGCAGCAATGCGCATTGTATCTTTGAAGCTTTAGTTAAATGTAGACTTCTCAGTTCATTCCCGTTGAATGAATTAAAGAGGGATTAAAAACATGATAACAGGAGCTTTATTTTGAAATTATGGGCTACTAAGACATAAATGAATCACTTACCTTTTGACCACGTATGATGAAATGATAGAATGGTGAAAAATACGATACGAAAAAAGTCGCCCATGTTATCTTCTGTAAGTCGAAGTAACGACTGTACAATACACTCAATGATTTTAACGACGCGCAATAGTCTGTTTTGATGTTTCAGCTTAGTAATATTACGTTTCAACTTACCTGATGACAACAGCCATGACGCGTTAAGCCGGGTTACAGTTTCAACAGTAACGCTGTTCTCATAGCCTGCGTAGAATGCTGGCGCTAGGAATAAATGGCCATGCATGACATGCATGGCAGGCGATACAAGGAAAGGGAAAAGAAGGGAAAAAGGGAGAGTGGAGATCCAGAATGGCTTTTCCTTCCCGCCCCTTCCCCTTTCAAGTTTGCGCCGATATACTGTGTGGTACAATTTTTCAGGATTTTACATTTTAGTTGGCGGATCACTTTTTTCTTGATAATAAATTATTTATTTAATTTTAATCTTTGCGATGATAAGAAACTGGTCGCGTTCAACTGAGAACTAGTAACCCTGGGTGGGTGCAAGAGACTTCTTGGGCGCTTTCCGGTTCTGTCAAGTCTTAATATAGTGCAGTGATCCACGTGGAGATCTTCGGAGTTCGGCCGAAACCAAAAATGCCTACCTCACCACAGGGTTCAGAGGAGATGTGTTTGTCGTTAGAACATTAAAAACCCGTCGAAAACGTCTGAAAAAATGGGTTATTTTACAGTTTCGTTACACATTCTATTGACCGCAAACCAAGAGACTGAGGGCTCGCAAGATCGGCTTAAAGTAAAAAATAAAATATTTGCTCGGCACTTTGTGCCTCGGTCGCCCTTCGGGCGACGGCCTTCGGTCACCCTTCCGTGCGCCAGCGAGGATATGGCTTGCGGTTATTGATTTTCAAAGTGGCGAACAACAAGATCTGGGTCAGATAAGAAGCGAAGAAATCGTTTACAGTAGATTCATTAAGATCCCATTGGGCTAATTAATCGTGCATTTTTCATGGTGAGACTTTAAATAAGTAATTCATTTATTCACACGAAACTTCTCTGGACCCTGTGATCTCACGCGAGGAAAAAACCACCGGTACCCAGGGTGATAACTGGGTTTAATTGAAAGACCACTCCTACCCAACCCCAGACCCAACCCATTTTTTTTTCTCAGAAAATGGTGAGAAGGTCAACAGTAGCCTGCGTAGCATGGCGGTTTTGATCGGGCGCGCAAACAAGCCAAGATGGGCGAGGGCAGTAAAACTGCGAGGAGATATGGGCGGGGTCAGTTGACAATACAAAGTATGCTTAATTTATGAATCTTTCGTAATTAGAGCTACCCTCGTGGTGGGAGCTGGTCAAAACCTTGAAATTGTAGACCATTCTTATTTACTTGAAGACACTCCGTCAGTAGCAACCTTTCATATACCCTTTAATTGTATATACTATTTTTGATAGGGAAGGTACCCCTTTCCTATACGTTCTATTAGCAAGAATGTTGCATTCATTTGAACTGCCGTAAATGCAGTGTCTTTTGAATACGAGTAAATCACTAAATCGGGAAGTGTTGCTGTCTTTTTCACAGCCTTGTTATCCCTTTTAGGTCATTTCACAGACTCCCAGAATAGCAGATTTCGATTCCCTATCCTTTCATATACTTCATCAAGTGAAATCGTCCGGCGCCCTTTCATAAAAAAAGGTTCTCCTTTCGGGCAGAGAATCCCCATACAAGCCATTATAGGGAATACACCCCCAACGAGGCTTGAGTCCAGAAGGCTGATATACTATGGTTAATTTTATACCAGGGTATAAGGTCGGTTTGTGATGACGCTCAACCTCGTCCCCAGGGCTTTTCCCTCAAAAAATGGGTGAGGGAAAAGCCCTGGGGCCGAGGTTGGATGACGCTGTTATTGTTTTTCACCTGCTCTTTCTTGCCACAGTAATCAGTGGATGAGGAGAGGTACAAATAGCTAAAAAAAAAAAAGTACATTGACGTACGGTTAACAAACAAAACTAGCCTTCACGATTAGCAGGCCCATGCAAAATGAGCAAACTAATGCATAATAATAATCTTTCGCTCTCACCCCTCAACCACAGGCCCTCAACCCCTTCCGGTCATAGAGTGCGCTTCTCCAGTTTTTCAAAATTCTCTCCCATTAACCCATTTAACTTGTCTTCCTGTCCTACCTGACAAATGAGGTGGAGGGCTTACAGGAGCACGCTATGAGTATTAAATTCCCACATGTCACCTATCTGGAGGGTTAGAGACACTTTTTAATCAAAGAGAGGTGCAAATGATCAAATGTTTCAGGACATTGGTAATAATCCTGATCACATGCAAGTTATACAGATTTTTACCGGAGTTCCCTTTTGTATAAACGATTTTATGAAGTCATTAAAATTCGTTACATTTTTATCTTAGATTTACTATTTAATTCATTTCTAAAGTTTTATCAAATTCAGCTCTAGAAAGATTGATGTGACTGACCATGATTAGATCTGATTAGATATGTGACCCACAGTCCTCGACAGAGATGAATTAAACCTATGGGACAACGTAAACACAACAACCGAAAGAGGCTCAGTAAACTAGTTATTTATCACTTAAGATACGTTTTCATATGTGAAACTATCCAGTGTCCACAAAGTCAAATCAAATCGCAAAAACCAAGTCTAGAAAAGGCGAATATGCGCTAAGGTAAAATTAGCCTGCTTAGCAAGCGTTTCCTCGCGAGTTCGTCGAGAAAGTTGCAGGGACGAGAGCAAAAAAAAAAAGGAATGACGGGGGAGGGGGAGGGGAAGGCGCGCAATAACTCCGACGATTCGAAACGCTTGCTACGCAGCAGACGCAGGCTAAGGTAAAATAGAAAACTATTCAGCGTTTCGAAATATCGTGGTCGATCATAACTTGTCACATGGTCAAAACGTTTGTAGAAATAAAAAGTAAAAACCTTTAGCCAAAAACTACGAAGATGACTGAACAGAGTGAAGTACAGTAAAGAAAGAAAACTTATAACTAACATAACAGTCCCGCTTGTAGCGCTAAACCAAAACGACTCCAAACGACATAATGGACCAAGGATCATGGCATGGCTGCCCATTCGCAAAAGACAAAATACAGGATAACTGGTACTCGACAAAAGTTTTCCCGCTGCGAAGAATCTGCCCTTTCGCTGTGTTTGGATGGTAGGCAGCTGGAGCAAACTCAAGAGGAACGTCTCTAGGACTGGATATCGATTCCACGTTAATGATCCCACGTTTCTTGTGAGGTCAATAACGTCATTGTGCCATAAACAATTGCGGTTAACAAAATGATTATTTAAAAATACGTATCTAAACAAATAATAGCCTGCGCGCGAGCAAGCTCTGAGCCCTTGTTGCTTTGCAGCCAGCTCGCGCCTACTCGCGCGGCTGGCTTCGCTTGCCCAAATAGGAGAGCTTGCTCGCAGGCTATAGACAATATTTCAGATAACATGCGTCAGCCGTAACATCTACACAGACTTGGAATATTAACACAAAAACAACTCAAAACATGATATATACATTTGCCATATGCGGGTGCAGATAATAGTGATTTCGCCCTTGTCCAGTCTAGGGACAGGAGTTAAAATTCTGCTGTTGCTCGCTGCAGCAGTTTGATTTATTTTTGGTAAGAAGATAGTTTCCTAGTTCCGGTGCTGGTACGTGCCGATGATATCCGAGATTTTAGGTTAGTCACGCGTAATAAATTGTTTATTTGCCTTTTACCCAAGCCTTATATGTATTTTGAAAGACGAGAAAGCCATAAATTCAGTTTGAGAGTAGTCACCAAGTAAGTATTCTTGGATTCCAAGGATGACATAGATTCAGAACTTGGAGGAGGAGAGTTTATTTTGCCACTCATATCTTTCTTACATCTACAGTTGCATCTGTTACATTGTTAACGATTACAGGAGTTATCTACTATCAGCAAGACGCAGCAAGCTTGATAAAGCTTTTAAGCCTGGTCACGTTCATGATCGTCCGGATCGTCCGGATGGTTCCGGTCGTTTCAAATGACTTTCAGGTGATAAGGATGATTATATGAAGCACTACCAGGACGATCGCCATGCACTGCGACCCAGACAACTGGGACTGACGACCTTAATCGCTTGGATAGGACAGGGGCACCCAACGAGAATATAGTTCAAAACCACTTAAACATAGCATTGTTAAGCGTATTTTAGTATTTAAATGGTAGATTTTGGCATATTTTTGTCCCCTTAAAATTTTTCATCTGTTCGGATTTCCTAGCTGAAAGTCTAGTGGTCCGAAAATTCTAGGGATCAAAACTTACCTTTTCGAAAATTTCAGCCAGAAAAAAGGCTCCCGAAACTTCTAGGTGACGTTTTTAGGGTAAAAATCCGTTAAAAATGGGCAATTATTCCATTTTTTAGATGTTCGAAAATCCTAGGAGAGGCAGGCAAGCAAGAAATTTTACAACATATGTTCCGAGAATTCTATATCTCCAATCGTCTTCCGAACAGATTATTTCCGAAAATTGACGTTGGTTGCCCCGGACTCGGATAAGAATTGAGTTCTTACAAATGTTGTTATTGAGTGCTTCATATTGTAAATCAACAAACAACAAGAATCAAGCCAAAACTAATATACTCTTCGAATTAAAAACTCGGTTTAAGTCGTGAATGGCGTCCCAAGTTCTCTGTTTTAAGCTAATCTAATACTGTAAAGTACTCCCCAGAAGCTTTCGCTAATCCCGCGAGGATTATGGGCTATAGAGCCAAAAAAATCGCCTTCCGTTTGGTTGCTTTTGGCAGATTTCCCCCCAGCAAGTGCAAATCGTGCACTGATCATCACTGAACAGGGCAGAATAACATGGCATACTGCCACGACATACTTTTAATTCATTATTTCTTCTCTCCAGACTTTCAAAGAACATACTCTTTTTTAGGTTCAAAGATAAAGGGGCAATATATTGTACAAACGTTTTGGAGGCTTCGAATGAACTCGCTTTACAGTTCGTGCCCCGCAATCCTGCATGACACAGGGAAACCTTCGCAATATAAATAAGGAAACACGGATTTGGTCAACTTAGTTACTGAATTATGGAAGCATCATCATAACCCACTTAACCATGCAAGCTCAATAAAACGTAGCCGGTTTAAAATTCTGTTTTGATGGATTGTTCTCTAATGTTTCTGAGATCGTAAACTCTGATATTATTGTGCCTTGAAATTGGCTTGAAAAGTAGTTGTTCTTGATAATCTAAGTGACAGCTATTCAAATCCCAAGTTAATCTCTCATTATATTATCGACCTTTAAATACGATTGGACTTATCCAGCACAAGTTATAATTAGTAGCTGTAACCGCCAAGATTAACTTTATTCATATTTCTGAAAAAAATATATCTTTCTAGTTAAATAGAGGTACCATTAAGCCATTATAATGGTCATTAATTTCTTACTAGTTTCCAAAAGAGGCAATAATTTTGTCCCTAAGAACGGATTGCTTGAGGCAGTTAAAACGGCGAAAAGTGATCTTCCGCTTTGATTTGACCTATAGATCAAATAGGGTGGACTCTATTTCCTTTTCTCGTCGTTTCTTTACCAGTTTCAGTTAATCAGAGTTTGTGCATGATTGCTTATTCGACAGCAAAAGTTTTCCTATCAGTGAACGTTGCTGGTGGGAACCCCTCCCACTTCGGGGCGTATATTTGTAGTTATTGGCTGGGTGAATCATTCCTGGTAAATGTAGCTCAGTCAATCTCTAACTGATTATGAGTGTATTAGCCAGCCTGCGTGGGGCAGGCTATGAGGGTATTTGAAGTTTTTATCAGTTTTGCCTTATTAATCCTCTTTTCCTTAAACGACGCTAAAATTAAAAATATAACATTTATACATATTTTCGTATTTTGTCTGTTTAGAGTATGGAAAATGTCCTACTTCGTGTATATGCACTTTTTTTAAACAAAATTCATGTCCTTTCGCTACTCCCAAGCAGGAAACGGAAACTTTAGTAACGGTATATTTTTTCCTGTGCTGAAAATAGTATCTAATGGGGAATTGGCTGAGTTGGAAAGGTAAATCTGTCGTCACATTTATGTGCAATAAATCAGGCTGCCTTCTAAAACAATTTGTGGTCCGGTGCTAAAAACCCTCAGATACAGCAAGGAAACGTTCATTAAGAGCTTGTGAGACCGCAAACAGAGGTTTTTCTTTTACATCGCCATGGGCAATAGTTTTTTATCAGTTGTCGGATGCCCTTACCGATATTTGAGCCAGTAACAATATCCATTTATACACAACAAGGAAAAATGACTCGGTTTTCACATAGGAAGTGCTTTCTACTTTAATCTACGTGCCAAACATCAGAATACCACTCACAAGATAGCTATGGGGTCAATTGAATTATCGGCAGTTTAGTGTTTCCCAGTTTGCCTTAGCTAGATATATCATTGTGATAATTAGATGAATAATTAAATATAAATAAACAACAAAGACTTCCAACAATTATAATTTCATTCTTCTTAATATTATTATTATCATTTTTTCTTTCTCTCGAATACTTGCTAAACTATGACAACGAAGTTTTTTCACTGCTGACATGTGTTGCGTGAAGTTGTAACCGTACTCTTGACTATTGAGGAAACACGGATCGGGGATTTAAAAGTCCGGATGTTAGGATTTTCAGCTAATAAAAATAATAATAAAAAGGATTTCATTAATTCGTGCCGTGATTTATCAGAAATCCATTTCTTAGAGGCGTATTTTGCGTGACGATTCCACCAATTAAAAACGTGATAGAATTTAAAAAAATATATTCTGCTCTGAATCGATACTTATCTGCTCGTCTGAGATTAAATTTCATGCTCCACCCCATATAACTGACGAAAGTGACCAACTGAAAATGCGCACATTTCATGAACTTTCCCGGTTGATGTGACAGCCGTTTGCAGGACCACTGGAAAAAAAAAATTGAACCATCGGTCTCTAGGTAAAGTTCCCGACCATGAAGGCTACTTTCTTTTTGCTTGTGGCTTTTTCCCTTGTCACTAAATCTGCTGGATTTGTAGTCGAACGTCCAGATGGGATCGGGATCGATCTAGAAGTAGATGACGAAGTAGGAGGAGAAAATGAAGATGTCTCAGACTTCCTCGTCGATTCAAATGTGGATACATCAGGTAATTTGGGTTTTATTTATTTATTTATTTTTTTTTTTTTGTTTGTTTTCATCATGACCTACCTCCAGCTCCAGAGAAAACAAATGTCGTTGTAACAAATTAATTAATCAAAATGACATCTGATTTATGTTTACGTTGAACATCGAACAGTGCGTAAGTATCACATAACTTACCCTGAGTTAAAGAATCTTTTTTTTCTCCTTTTTTTCTGGCAAAACCGCCGCAAAAACACAGCGCCAGAGTTGTATTATAATCGTGGACGACATATGTTTTATTCTAGTCCTTTTTAAGACGGACCTTTGGAGCTTAGTTACCAGGCAGGTAAAAACATTTTTTATATTTTGGCTGATTAGATCTCTTTTCTAGCCGGATCCAACGTTTACAACTAGCAGGATCTTCGTCCACGGTTTTTTCAGTTAATTTAATCCTTTATTATCTACTCACATAATTGCCAATGGTTACTGTGAAATGACTAGATCTACTGTAAATTTGGTTTTTAGAATGTTCAACCTACAAAATTCTAAACGAGTCGAGCCGTGCACAATCATTTCAGCAGCATGCAGGCGCTTTTGTCTGCTATAATAAAGGATGGTACAGATTCCAAGGAGAAGTAGAAACAAAAATGGCAAATAGCTGTCCAAAGAGCAACCATTGTGGCTGGATGGTCGGTGAGCATCCTACGGTGGACCAAGGAGTTGTGCGACGTAAAGTATGTTTTCATTGGTCCAACAACTGTTGTTCCTTCTCAGCTAATATCCGGGTCCGAAACTGTGGATCTTTTTATGTGTATGAGTTACTGTCAAATCTTAACTATCATTGGAAATTGAAGCTGTACTGTGGAAGTGGTCTGGCAGATGAGACAGCAGAAAACTCAGGTAAACACAACTGAACATATGGTATAATCGTATTCCCTATGGAACACATCCACTGTCTGGCGGAGACAAAAATATAGTAGTGAGAGTCAGTTTTAAAAGTCCCTCCTCTTGTTTTCTACTTCTCAAATAATCCCTGATTATTTCTTTTTAATTTTGCGAGAAAAAAATCACATTCAGTAAACACTAATTTCCTCGGCTGTATTTTGCCTATAAATATATGAAGTTCATGGAAAGTGCGCATGCACAAGTTGTAGTTAGTTTGTTGTAGTTAGTTACCGTGAAGCAACATAGAAAGTGAGGGCGCTGCGAGCACCTAAAGATGGGAACTTTGGCGCAAAACTCAGGCACCGCTACGGTTTCTGGTTAGACGAACTATTTTCACGTGGTAAAAAAAAAACATTGTTCGTAATTAGTGATTCATCCTTTTGTTTTTTATTTTAAAGCCAGCTATTCTTAGCCATTTGTGACTTGGCCCACATCAGAATCGTTGGTTCTTTTGGGGTGCTGACCATGCAGAGGCTCCTCTTCCTATTTTTTCTTCATGATTTGCTGCACATCATTATCATTATCATTGTCATTTCGTTTATTGTCATTGTCTTTATCATGACGATTATCATTATCGTTTTAAGCCAGAGTGTCATTTTTTTCTCTTTGAAGGTGAGTCTGGTAGTGGAACGGCAGCGATCAACTCTGGTGAGGGGAGTTCTCCAGCTTAACAAAAAAAGTCACAATGATTGTTTTGCTTTCAAGATCAGAGTATACTTAATCTGTTTTTTTTTTTTATGTACCTAATGTGACCCTAATATATGGGTTAGGACACTATATTTACACTTTTTTGATGTTGTTAAAGAAGGTGAATAGGCGAAGTAGTTCCTGAATACAATGTTTAACGCTAACAGGTCATTCTCTTGTATGATCTATCGTTATTGAATATTATTGCTCGAGAATGTTAACAACTTCTCAAAGTTTATTTCAGTAGCAACTATCCTAAAGTACTCGGTATATTCCAAATTCATGGAAGAATGTAATTTCATAAACTGAACTAAGGCTGAAATTTAACTTGAATATAATTATGTTGAATAAGTTATCATAAAAGTGTGGGTATACCAGTTCTCTATATTTTAAAAACCATCACAAATACCTCTTAAATAAAAATAAAGTCTACTGAACAGTTTTAATTTGCGTTCTTACTCCATAACTCTGTTGTCTTTTCACGTGACGTTTTCACCAATTTGGTCGTCGCTCCCTTAAGCGTTAATCGATTAATTACATCTGGATAGTACGCAAATAGGAAATAGAACATTGGGAACTAGGCGGTGTTTAACACACCCGCCTGTTACAGACCCAGTGAAACCTTACCCGGTGGTTTAATTCAGCTGTCTATCCAGTGATAATTTAGCCTTCCGGATACCTGGCGAATAGTTTGCTTCTAGCCGGCTAATTTTCTGCTTCCCCGGCCACTAATTCTAATGTAAACTCTACAAAACCAGTGTATTTCGTTGTTCATATTTGTTTTAAAGAAGCAAAAGTATAAAACATTATTACCTTGACAAGCCGAAATCGAACGGTACAGATATTAATCGACCTCCGGCATAAAAGAGTGTAAATCTTTAAAGGTCTTCTAGCCAGAGCAATATGTAAAAGGTTTTCAAAGATTTCATACCGGTAAATATGTAAGGCCTGCCACTTTTTTTAGCTTTTATGAGAGATACTCAACAAAAAAAAAACGGTGGAAAATAAGCCAACCTGGTGACGTTTTCTCCGAGAACCCGGTGAAGATATAGATTTCACTAGGTCTGCTACAGAGGACTGTTTTAACAAAAGCACGCTAAGGTCGAAACCTGTTATCTAAATGCTGTTTATCGTAGAACTTTTCATAAAAGCATATAGCGTCAGGTGACTAGAAAGCATTCTTCTTGTTAAATTAAACCATCTTGTAGAGAGGCCTGAAGGTCTTCTGCTGCTCAAGTTAGACTTCCATTAAAATATGCATAACCAACACTTAGCCGTAACTCGTAGACTGACAGTGATATCGTATGCAGCACCACACAAGCAAACATTGCAAAGCAAAACACGACTTTTATTACAAATAAAGTAACGGAGAGTTGAAAATTAAAGAAAGAAAAAAACTTTTAGATACAATGGAAACTCAAGGAGAGCCTTTGAAATTCAGTGGAAGTAACAAAGACGCGTTACTTTCACAACCAGACCACCGAATGCTTCGTCACTTTGATCATTCTCAAGGCTTCTTCACCTTCTCTCAGTGTATCAAATTCATGTGCGAGCTGGATTGCTCTCTGAGAAGAGAGGGAAAGAAAGATCGTAGATTAGTATTTGTACAATGTAGCTTGCTTTTACTTTCATTCTTCACCTAGTATACTGTCTTTCAAGCAGTTAATCCCAAAGATTTGACACTGATTTGATTTATGTCCCGGTTCTTAAATCGATGGAGAAAAGGAAACTTGCTCAAGCCTGAGTTACCGACACAAATACTAAAGTAGATTTGTAAACTTAAGAGGATAGGAATGGAGAATGGCCGAAGGGAATGTCAAAGTTACTTCTGTTCTGTCCAATAGCTGCATTTTTTTCTCCTGCTTAAACTCCTCAGCCATAAATGTAATTTGCCTGCATGTCATGCAGTTTGTTTTCAATTGCATTTTGTCAGGCTGTATGGAATTTTGAGTAGGACGGATACCTGTACAATAGCTAAGGCAACTGAGTGCACTTCCATCATAGTTCAAAGAATGGTGTGAAACGAGGTTAGTAGTAGAGTGGTGGCAGTCGAGTTATGATTTCACCTCCCTATCAGTACAATCAGTTATCAGAGTAGTTACCTTGTCGTTTGACGTAATAACTGAAAATATCATCTGTACCCAAGTAGCTTTTCATGGCGCGTTTGAAGCCGTTCTGCGTGTTTTTTGCCAGATAAGGTAGTTTTTCACTGGAGAGGTATGGAGAAGAATTGGCCTCATCCTCGTTCGTTTCCTTATCCTTACCTAAGGTGCAAGATTCAAAAAATTAACAATTGATACACAGTTACAAAATTTCAATTTCAGCAATGAGACCCCTACTAAGAGCAGCAACCTCACTGTAAGAAAGATGTGTTTAAGATTTCTTTTTTTCAAGAACTACTAGAGACTGGAATCAAGTAAATTTGTATAATTGTTTTTTATTTTGCATTTTACTAATTGTTGCATGTAATTTTTTCTTTTATATTTTGTAAACGGTTGCTGTGTTGCCTAACCGGCTTTTACCGACCTAATTGAGATGATGCGTTAGCTCATCGCAACAAATTATATTAATACTGCAGAGATGCAGCCGACTATGTTTAACTGTCTGGGCATTACACTCTTTTTATTACTGTACTGTAAATTTTTAATCCCCAATGTGCCAACTTACAACTACAGACCTTGCATCTGATTCCGGAGCTGGTCAACAATGTTGCATACGATTTAACGGGGCTAAAAGTTTGACCGGTTTCAAACTTAATTTGCGCAGCAACTCCCGACAACACGTAAAAACTTGCAACAGAGTGTGCAAACTGACGCAACATGTAACATCCAACAATAACGCGTCCATTTGCGCGGGGTTTTTACTATCCGAAAAAGCGTCAAAGTAGGCGCCAAATATATGAATTTACAGTGTAATAAGAAGCTAAGGACATAAATCAGTTTTTGTTCACATTAGCTAAACTATAATGCATAATACAGTTGAACAGATGTTATTCCATACCAGTTTCCTCGTTATTCATGTAGCTTCGCGCGTGGCTCGCACTAGCCCTCAATCCTTCAAGAAAACTGCCCACCAAAGTACTCTTCTTTGCTTCATCTGATTCAGGATCAGCTTCGGTGCGGAATGATGAATGTGCGTCAGAGTAATCTTTTCCCTGGCTTGAATCTCCTAAAGATTAATATTGAAAGGTTTTAGTCGCAAGCGATAAAAATATCTCTGGTTGTCATCGTTCCATTTGTACTCATCGTTTCTTTCATTAAAAAAAAAAACGGTCCTTAACAACTTCTGTGTTTTGTGGTCACACCAACTAGCAAACTTATCATCGAAAACAAATGGTTACACGATGTGAATAAAGATAATCATAACCTTCATTACAAACAAGTTATTCAAGAAGTGCTAACGTTACGAGACGGACGGCCATAGAAGAGAGATTCTGCATGCCTGTAACTAAGACGAGGACGACAACGAGAATGAGATTTCCTGTTTACTAAGTAGTGCGGTGCGCGCGTAGACCAGTGTTATGAGTTTTGGTGAAAAACCGTGATATAGCTGTCCCCATTCTACTACGAGTTTAAACACGTTGAAGTGGAGGAAACATGTTATCAAGAGGTTTCATCATTTTTCGATGTGGAGAGTTTTTAACAGTGTTAACTTTTCTGGTGAAAAAAAAGTACAATAATAATAATAACAATCTTTTAATAGGATGCTCCATCACAAGAGTGGTTTACATAGAGGTCCTAATTACGAGATGTATATTATATAATACAATTAAAATATAAAAAGGTTGAGCTAAAATCGATATATATGAAAAAAAAAAAAAAAAAAAAAAAAAAAAAAA